TATTTTTTTTTATAGATAAAAGAAATATAATTTATTATTGAGATAATAAGAATATTCGGGTGTTTTTATATAAAATAAAATATAGATAGAAAATTTCTTTTTACAATTATTATGATAATTATAGTTTTACTAATTATTAATCTTGATTAAAAGAATAATACTTTGTTTTGATATAGTATATATGTTATTAGTATTCATATAATATACAAAGTATTTGAGGGTAATTTTGTATTTTGAGTGCATTAGTAGATAAGCATATAAGATCTCAAAGAAAAGGGTTAAATACAGTTTATACACCTAAATATACCATCTATAACACTTACCCCTAAAGTATTGTTTGTAACACTTACCCCTCAAGTACAATATAAATTGTATTTTAAATTCTAACACCTTAAAATTTTCTTTTTTTATTGAAATAAATAACTAAATAATTTAATAAATTATAAAACTAAAAATATCTGTTAAAAAATGCAATATTTCAAAATCTACAAGTATTATCTTGCATTTGGTACATATTTAATAATAACATCTAATTGTTGTTGGACCAATTAATCGAATATATTCATATCAATACATAACTAATAGTAATCTTACGTATTTAAATTTATTTTAGTTCAATGTCTTAAAATATATTTGCATTTATTATTATACAATATTTATTACTTTTTATTTTTTTTCAATAATTTAATTTTAGTTACTTTTCGTTTTTTTATGATCCAATAATTATTAGATTGTTATGTTTATTATACTAGTATTCACCCGTGCGATGCACGGGGCGACATATTTTTAACTGATAATACATGTCTCAAAAACAAATTTACGCAGATATCAATTATTACGGTCACTGAATTTAAGTACATAACGTAATCGACCAACAATAATAAAAATATGTTATAAGTGTCATGTTCTTCAAGTTATAATATAAGAATACTATTAAATATTAGTATATCGTCAAAAATAAATTTTAAAGATAATAAGAATTGCACCGAGCACCCTAGGGAAATGATTGAAAATAACATCGCACCGGGGAAAATATATAGATAAGAAACACCTGCAAAAGAATAAGTTCTTTAAAAAAAAAAAACATGTTACATGAATAACTGATAAATATGAAAATATTTTCTACCTTCAAATTCGATGAAATACTTCCTTGTACACGACATTTCTAGTAACATTGGTGAGTTCACCCGAATCCGACTTGATGAATATCTTAATGCCACCTCTGCTCTTAACTCTGGACAGTGCAACATTTAGTTGACCATGGCTGAAGACAGGCCTAGGAAGATACAAACTAACATGCGAAAGAGTTTGGCCTTGGCTTTTATTTATCGTCATTGCAAAAGAAACAATCAACGGAAATTGTCTTCTCTGAAATTTAATTGGCAGTCCGGAGTTAGATGGTATTAAAGTCATCCGAGGAATGAATACCATGTCACCGATATTTTTTTCGGAAAGAATTTTGCAACTCAGAACGTGAATGCCAGTTCTAATAATTTGAAGTCTGGTACCGTTGCACAATCCTCTAGCTTGATCGATGTTTCTTATTAGCATAAAGGGTGCACCAACCTTGATCTTCAACGCATGAGAAGGAACTCCGGAGCATCTTATTGTGTTGAGGAATTCAGTCGAATAAATTTCTGCATTATCCTCCGTTGTTTGCTCGTCCCTACACATACTATCTGAGCTCAGGTACACCTTCTCCTCTCCTGGAAGGAGAGACATTAAGTGATCGTTCACAGACTCGACGCATTTATTAGTTGGTGCAAGAATTGCCCTCCCTTGAAAATAATCTCGATCGTACATGTTACTCAACAAATCCGGGTAAACGAATTCGAGTAGGTCTCTGAATGGATATTCTGAATCACCAATAGACATGTCATCTGGAATCTCTATCGAAGCTTCACCATCATTGTCTTCCCCAACATCCCCATTACCAACATTCAGTGTCCAGTCTCCAAATTCTTTTATCTCATCCACGTTAGATGGAGAAGAGCATGACTGTAATCTCATGTTCTTAGTCAACTTCATGACACGACAGAAATTCCACAGCGGAGAGGGGTTTATCGTAGCATGTACTATATCCTGCATTGATGCTTTGAGCACAACTGGTAAAATCTGCCTAAAATCTCCTCCAATAACAACCACCTTACCACCAAAGGGTTTGTCAACCTGTAATTTGACTTCATTGTCTTGTCAAGGGCTTCAAAACAGTATCTATGCATCATAGGAGCCTCGTCCCATATAATAAGCTTTGCCCTTATGAGCAACTCCGCCTATGGACTTTGTTGCGATATGCTGCAGGTGGAACTCTCATGTACATTTATGGGTAGTCCGAATCGAGAATGAGCTGTTCTTCCAACGGGGAGCAATAACGATGCTATACCACTCGATGCAACGTTAATTACAATCTTTCCCTTCGAACGAACTGCAGCCGAAAGAGTTTTCCACAGAAACGTCTTTCCCGTTCCACCATGGCCATATAGAAAGAACATTCCACCACTGTCATTGGATACAACATCCATGACTACATCATAAACTTTTCTTTGATCATCTGTAATGGAAGCAAGACACTGTTGAAGTTCTCTACCCATTTCAAACCGGTCGTAATCCAGTTCATCTAACACCAATGTGTTTACTGTGTCCTCATCTGAGGATTCGATTGGAACTGGCATAGGCGCGTAATTTCGCAGGCTTTTACCATTGCTTTGCAATATTTTTTCTATTTCGGTGAGAGTATAGTTCTTCAAGCTTTCATCCGATATATGTAAATCTTCAACAATAAAAAAAAATGGATAAAATATGTGCATCTAGTTGAAATCGTACATAGACAATATTAAAAGAATGATTAATACGTAAAATCTAATTGAATACAGTGCCATAAAAATTGCCATACCTGGATTTTTATGAAGACGTTGTTGTTTGTAAGCAATACCCTCAGCCAAATCCAACCAACAACTTTGCCAAACATGTTCGGGCCGACTTAAGCTATTGGAAAGCAGCATAACCGCAAATAACCTTCTTATATAATCCCCCGATGCCCAAGTATTCACTTCTATTATTGCATTTATGTATTCTTTGTCGTCATCTAGCAAACCCAACACATAACATGCATACCTGAACGTAGGATAGACGATGTCAAAAACTTTTCTGATGTCCTCGTAGCACGTGCATCCCCTCTGAATGTTAAGTAGCAACCTAAGGTAATAGTATTCCCCCTTTCCAAGGGGAACATTCGCAATCCTACCAATAGAAAATCATTTTTTCCTTGGCGCCCAAGTTCGAGAATCCTCTTTATACACAAATTGTTGTGGAAAATATCCGTACCTCAAGTCCCTTGCATGTGGATAGTTCTTGTTGGCCTCAAACCACGCCAGGAACATAGTTTGCTTGGCAGATGGCCTATCCAACACACTTTGTAACGACTGGTTTTCATTGAAGACAGGTGGCTGATGATCGGGGAGATTAAAGCTTAGCCTAATTACGGACGGGTCTCTGTAATGAATATTAAAGTTAAACAACCTCCACATTGCCTCACACGCCGGAAGATACCTGCAGTCGTAGTACATCTTTATCTCATCACGAATCTCAGCACCGCCATCTGTATTGCGTGTTTCATAAAATGCCGCTGTGACTCGGTCATGCCCCTTGTTTACGTATTTGAACAGGTATTTAATTGACTTGTTTTGGTTGCATAGCTCGATATTAATGTGAGCTCGGTATTTACTCAACAATATACGATTGTACGGGACCACAAACCCATTGTCAAGAGTAGTCTTCTTCTTCGTAACTGTTCTGCCGTCTTCCCTTCTCCTATACACAGTAAAACCATCTGCATCTGATTCAGTGCGCTGCACAAACGGCTTTGGAAATCGCTTCGTGCAAACTCTATCATTCATACAGGGAGATTTCAAATTCTCCTGACCGCACGGTCCATGTATCATATATTTCTCCACCAACTGGTACATCTTTCTATCGTTTTCTTTGTCAGGAATTTCAGCACATATGATCCTGTCAATTCTTCTGGGTTCTTGGGCTTGTCGTCATTATGCAACCACAATAAAATATGTGCATACGGTAGACCTCAGTTCTCAAAATACATTGTGCATACATCTGCATAGAAAATGTAAACATACGGTATTAAAAAATATGAATTAATTTAGTTAATGAAGCAAAAAGTAGTTAAACTCGCACATGAGCAAATTATCTAATTTATATAAACGTATTTAATGTTTAATTATAAATTGAGATCTAATTAAATACTTACATGCTCTAATACGTCCGAACATACGGCCCTTCTTGATTTCCGTCATCATACTATCGAGCTGCATCTTGAACACACGACACAGAATGTCTGGCCGATCCTCCGACCTGAGATTTGTATCTTTGAACACCCTTTGTATTTCTGGCCATTGAGGATTGCATGCGATGGTGATGAAGAGGGTTGGAAATCCAATCCAGTTATATATTTGAAGAGCATCAACGAAGTTGTTAAACATATACCTTGGACCTGCAGTGAACGACCCTGGAATTATAATGCCTTGTCCAACCGATTTACCCTCAGTGTCTCTTTTAAAAATCTTTTCTTCGATACCCTTGTACATGTCAATCCTAAGTTGATCCTGATTGAACCTTATATTCAACCTATGTGACTCAACCATCGAAAATCGATCAACACAGAACTGCTGAAATAACTTATTGGAATGCAAAAGTAACGAATGTTCTCCACGCCGTTTCTGAATTAGGTATGCAAAGAACTCTCGCATGCTTACCTTCCTTCGTTTTCTATTATCAGCAAATGAAGATTCTCTCAAACTGATATCGTCTCGATAACCATCTTCACTGTAAGGAAATAAAAGAGGATTTTGTAGAGGCAAGTAAAGAGGATGGAGCTCACTGATTCGTTGAAGCTTATTTGAGCGCGTCTCAACTACAATATCCCTAACACCCTCTTGTGTGTCAAAGTCACCAACAATCAAGCCTGCTATTTCACTTGCGTTAGGAAGATTGTACGTCCTGCCATCAGTACTGCGACTCTTTACCAATCTGAGTTTTACTCCTTGATGGCCATCATTGGAAAAACGATCTCGAACAGCACGGTACTGCTGTGCAAGTACATTGTTACCGTCAATCATATCTTTCAACGATGCAACGATGGCTGGTTCAAGATCGTTAGATTGATTTATGGACCTTTCAAATAAAAAATAATGTAATTATAATTTGTAAGCTCTATATTCCTTAGAACATGAATATAATTCCCAAAAATTTACCTGACCGCGCGCATCAATTCCATTCTGAATCTCATTTTCTGTGTCGAAAATGTAAAGCTGGGCAAACTTAGGCCTAGTGCCTTCTTCCGGCAATAAACTGCCCAGTAGATGGTAATTTTGTCCGTGTAACAGAAATGTGTATGGACCAGATCCGTTATTAATAGATGTCTGCACTTTTCCACCAAGCGACGTGAAAGAAAACATCATATTGTACGATCGTACGTTCTCTTGAGAATGTTTGCTCCTCCGATCAGTTCCAGACACTAAATTGTTAAGTGTAGGAGGTGCATCTCTTATTTTTTGGAGCTGGACTTTCCCGGACATACAACATAAGCCAAATTTGGGCATAGATGTTTGTCTATGCTTGTCAATTCTTTCACCGTACCACATGCATCATTGCACCGCAAAAAGGACATTCATACGTCTGGTCTCCAAGATCTTCATAATCTATCCAAAATTAATTAAATAATATTAGTCATTTAAAAAAATATAATGAATTTATATAATTAGTAATGTTAAGATTAAAAGTTGTTAGATTAAAATGATATTTACCAGTATCGTCAACTGCATCGTCACTATTCTCATCGTTGGAGACATATTCAGAATCTACATTTATAAATAAAAAATTATCATTACAGTAGAAAAATATACTGACAAATAACGCATAACAATGAGATACGTTATGAGATGATGACAAAGATAATTACCTCCGCTGTCGGAAGAAATGTCTCTTAACGTCTGTAAATCCTCATCTACCAACATAGCGGGTACTGATGTCATATCCAACACACGTGTTACAGAGTCAATTGTTTTATGACTCCTAGCCATCTTCTTTCCATTCCGCACGGTATAACTAACATAATAGTAAACATTCAGCTTCTATCGAAATGAAAGAAAAAGCTGGAATATTGTCTACATGTATTGCACACTTAATCATTTAATAAGACATAAAATTAGTCCTAGAAAATAAGATCGCAACTTTTATTTGATTCATAATAAGATTTTGTAACTTGTAAAGGATCTTCACATGATGTACATGCACCATTGCGACAGTACTCAACGTCATCTGTTGTAATAACAACATAGCTTATTTATTATATAATTCATTTATTTATAATTATGTAGCAATAATTGTACAAAGATAACAGTATTAACGTCTAACATAGAATCGACACCACAATTACTCCCCATTTAGTTAATGCCACTTGTTTTTTATTGCTAAAAAAAAGTGCTTGATATAATACCTTTCTTTTTCTTAGTCAATTTTTCTGTATATGTTGGAAATAATTTTTTTCGTACACTATTGACAGCATATGTGGAAGGATATTGGGAGAACAATATTTAGTTAGTTATGACCTATACGAAATAATGACAGTAAAAAAAACTATAAGATCGAGCAGTTTGTGATATTCGTATTTAAAGTTAATTAAATACTAACCAATTGAACGATTAGTTGTAGCGTAACTCGATTGGGTTTGATCCATGTTCACTCGATTTGAAGGATCACCTAGCAATTTTGTTTGTTTATGAATAATACCTTTAGCCTTTTCTTTTGCAACATGTTCCAAAGATGAGTGCGAACTCCCATATACTGTGGTATACACATTTAAAGCCGTAGATATATATATATATATATATATATATATATATATTCGGGATTGAAAGATTAAAAAATTGGGGGAGGGGAGGGGGTGATAAAATCCGTACAGTATTGTGCATAAAGAAATGTGGAGTGAAAGAACGATTAAAAAATATAAAATCAATAATTCTTGAGTGAAAATATTTACGTACAATAATTTGAAGTATGTGGCTTGATTATTGAAAATAACATTGAGTTGGGTAGATTATATAGTTTGGATTGTAAGCATAATTTGGAAAGTAGATTAATAATTAAAAATTCAAATTTTAAAATGAGCGTTAATCTAGGAATAACTGATATATGGTGATATTTTAAAAATATAATTAATTTAAGTTAACATTGCATAAATTAATACTCTTTCTATAATCAAAATATTTCAAAATATATGAGTAATTAAAATAAAGTTAGAAAATACACACACTATATTCATATCAATATTTAATTATTACAGTCCACGGATTTCATAATTAATGTCAAAGTTAATAGAAAAAAGACTAAAAATCTTATATAGATGATTAATATATTTGCCTTGAATAATGTATATGTTATTGAAAATATCGGATCCTATTACCATAAACACAATGCGATATTAAAGAACATAAATATTAATAGGTTTTAGTAGAATGTAAAATATTTAATTTCCATATTGAAAAAGGCATTTACGTGTGAATAAGTTGGTTATTAAATATGCTATAATAATTTATTATTGTAAAATAATAAATTATATTAATTTATCATTTTTATTTTAAAATATATTAACACATGGGTGATTAATCTGATTAATACGTAAATGTTTCATAAAATATATTACGTAGATCGTAGAATATAATATATATTATTATATTTATAAATACAAATATTTACGTAAATATAAAAATGTTATATATATGGGTACTCTCTTTCGTATGTCACAACTTATAATCTTTGTAACGGAATGCAAAAGGAAAGGGCAAACATAATAGAAAAATGTATTTGTATTTTAAAATTTACTCATATTCGTATAACGCTATAATGTTATGAAGTATACACGCTTGTTAGACAACAACGCAATTAATGTTCAAATATAAACAATTTTATTAATATGCATAATTCGTTTTGGCATAAATGAGTAAATTCGTTTGCCGCATTAAAAAACATAAGTAACTTTATTGAAATAAGCTTCATGCAAAAAGTATTAAGGATTTTGTCTCAAAATAGTAAAACATATTGTGTCTCTAAATACGAAATACCAAAGAAAATCGAAATGAATAACAAAAAATGACGAATAAGTTTAAATAATAAATTACTCCATTTTCTCTTGTTTGATCTTTTTCAATAATTTGGTGGATGATTGCTGGACGGTAGGATCATTGAGAATACTATCCAAAATACAATTGTTGGATCGCTTCATTGGAGTAATAGCGTTGACATCATCATCCACAATACCATTAGTTGTGATATCACCATCTACAACGCCATCGTTAAAATTAGAACACGTTCCAGAGTCCTATAAATTAGAAAAGAATTACGTAAAATATTTGTGTATTTGTGAAACATCTCTTACGTGCAACATATGAACAATTAACCAAAAACAAATTGTTTAATCCACCTTTGATGAGAAGACACACCCATCGTTGTCATAATTGACACTCAGCGACGATGAACCATTATCATGTTTATGCAATATTATAAAATACATACACATTAAAAACCACGTATTAAAAAAAAAATTATATTAAAGTTAATTATCAATACCGCATCCATTTCGTAATGCTTCAAAAATGAAGCAATGATAGCATGATCTGTGCAAACTTTTTGAACATTATAGGTTTTATGATCTTCATTGGCAACATTATCACCCTTGATAGCAATTTTGAATAACATTATTCGATCAATTAACCCCTCAAGTTCCATAGGATACTCCACAGGTTCTTCACCCTTCATAGCATTAAAAATAAATAAATGATAAAAATACAAAATTAATTGATTACTCTAAAAAAATGTATATTTTAGAGAAAAAAAATGATGATTGGTTGATCAATGTACCCTGTTTTGGACTGTTTGAATTAATGCTTCTACAGGAATATCTAGCATCCTTTCAGCTTCTTTCCCAAATACAATCATCGAAGCTGAATTTGTATCGTCCATGACAATGACTTCAACTTTATAACTAAAGAGAATAACAAAATGTGAATGAAATGTATTTGTTGCATATTATTAGAATTAAAAGAAAAAAAAAATATTACGTACGTTGGCTTAGGAGTAGGCCAATGAGCTATGCAAACGTGACAATACCATATTTTTGAATCCTATCTAGCAGATCTATTACACTTAATGCAATCCTTGTACCACCACTTTGATGTTTTCACAAGACCCTTAATAGTGGCCAATACAACATATTTGCCAGGCTAAAATGTGAAAATAAACATCAATTAAGTATAGTTATAATCAATTTTGATAAATGATTCCTATTAGTATTTTACTAAAAATGTACGAATAAATAATGTAGCAAATACATTGTTATTACCTCATTTGTGTCACTCAATTCGTCCAAATTTTTTCTGACAGTCTTACGTATGAAATCATCTTCCATCGAGTAAGAAGACTGCGACGATTTTTGACTCATCACTTGACCACTATTCTGTTTACTCCGAATCAGACTAAAATGAAAAGTTACATGCTAATAAATCGTAATGAAAAAAATAAATTTTAAAAAAACGTAATTAATACATTTAAATATAAAATTGTAACCTCGATTTGAACTCATTAATTGCAGGTATATCCTCATTTATAAGCACACGTGATGAATGCCAATGGTTAGATACCTGAACTTCACCTACGAAAACATAACAATAAGAATGAAATGTAATAAATGTCCCTAACATTCATTATACCAAATGCATAAGAGAAATTATTGGACAAACTAATACCATTCTTTATCTCAGTCGTTGCAAATTGTATTACAACAATATACGGCCCTACACCAATATCTTGAATTCGTTGAAGTATGTATTCAGCAAACGTTCCCCACAACAAACAGTTGACATTCGAACCAATTGCATAACTAATAAAATGATGATTGATATGTAAAACACATGAACATATATATGATTTAAAATCCAAAAAGATATATTTTAGTGATTTTTGAAAATACTCAATATCTTCAAGTTCAAATGGAATGTTTTGTTTTGTTCCACCCGATAGGTGATTCAATGAACCTATCGACAAAAACGAACCAATAACATCTGCAATTAATATTAAAAAAATGTAAGAATACATCCAGTATAAATGCTAAATATTAAGAAAAACATCAATGGAAACATTTAATACCTATCGTATACTCATTGTTGTTTGACGCTTGTTGTATATCTGCGTAAGGTGTGAACTTAAAAGAATACATTGAATAGACGGAACGTCAACTTCTCTCGTAGTAGATGTATATTCAAAAGTTACTCTATAATCATTCAAGGCATGCTTGTAGGTCTTGACACTAAAAAAAACAGATAGGTTTGACATTACATAACATCTGTTCACTTTGATCTTAGACTCAAATCTGTATAACAGTGTATACTTAATGGAATCTTGCACTGTATCACCCTGCGTAATGAAGAAACAAATGTGAAAAATATATTTTCCTAACAATCATATTTGACGTATTAAAAAAAATAATCACCTGTTCATCGATAAATATCATCTCCATGTCTTGAAGATCTTTCTTAAAATAATTTGGTTGTTTCCAAATGTGCAAAACATAGATTTTGAGATTCCATGACTTTTTTTCACCTCCCAAGTTTCTAATGAGATCTACTTGCCTTGACATCTATATGTGTTTAATACACGTAATCAAAAATTTGTTAGTGAATTAAGTCACACAATAAAAGATGAATATACGATAACAAATCTTGAATTATATATATTTCTTAATATGAATAAAGTATAATATATAATCTATATGATAAAGGTACATTAATTCATATGCTCGGGTACCGTGAAAGAAAAAAAATCAAAAAAAAGTAAAAGATTATTCTAAAATAATATTATACTCACGATTCACAAAAAGAGAACGGTGGTCGGCTGATGAAGTATCGAGAGAACAATATTATCCTGCAGTATAGAGTAACAATGAAATGAACCGTGTATATATAATATGATGAGATTTAATAGTTCCTAAATCATAGTAAATGAAATACAATCATGGAAGTAAAATTATAATCCTTAAATTTTAGTTCCGTAATTATAGTAAATGGAATACAATTATATTTAATAGTACCGAAATTAGAGTAAATTATAGTTAATAAATATTCATATTCCATGTAATTAACTAAAATTAAGCATTTTCCTATAAATAAAATGCATAAATTTCGATTAGGCATATATTTATATGCCTAATCTATATTAATTATAGATCACCTACATAAATATAAAAGATTATATCTTCATAAAAAAGCATGTTTCTATTGTTACGGATATATATATATATATATATATATATATATATATATATATATATATATATATATAACGGATTAGGGGAAAAAAATATAAATTGTAAACATGTTAATTACACATTATTATATATAATGGTTATGCTTTTGAACATTTAAAATTGCTTATAAAAATAACGGAATCTAATGTTTAAATATGTATATTGATTCTATTGATTTAACGGATTCTTTTGTTTAAATATACATGATATATATTGTGACTATTTTTGTAATATATTATAATTGTTTTATCGTTTCTACATATTTATTTAATTATCTTATGGGTATTCGTTTCTGTGTGGATGCGCACAATTATGTTAATGGTATACAATGCTCTTTCACCATGATAGATAAAACAATAAAAAAATTAGAAATTATTTGTAAATCGAGGCAAATCATATTATTAATAATAAAACTTTAAGGAGGGCGAAAACATATCATATGTTGGAAAGGCTGGGTCGTGCCACACCTCAAGTACATCATCCCATTGGTTAAAAAAAAAAAAGAATACATGTTGCTGCAAACCATGTTATGTGCGTAACAAAACTCTGTCCAACTCTTAGTCAACAACATATACATTTTTCCATGTTTTTGGCGCGAAGATACCGCAACTTGAAAATGATTTCCCTCCTCGTATCGAATATTGATAGTAGACAATCCTGTCAACCGAGAAGTTTCAACAAAAGCATTCCTTAAAGGCTACATATAAAATTGAATGAAGAAATCAAATACAAAATAAAACAATAATTCATTGTTATACTAAAAAAGAGACTATGATGAATATACCATTGCATGTAGGTGATACCAATGCAATTCTTTTTCAAGAATTCTCTCCATATCTCCGAAACTATAAAAAAGTATGTGGAAAAGTTGAAGAATGTTAATGTGTTGAATGTTAATTTATAGTAGAGTTAGGGAATATAACAAAGGTAACAAAAAAAGTAATTAATATAAATTGATGTAGTTACCTATTTTATCTAGACTACTTTAAAAATAAACATGTAGGAGAGATAAAATTTAAAAATCAATAATGTGAAATTAATTTATTAATAATATGGGTGAATATGGTAAGTGGGGTTATTTTAAAATTAATAATAATATGTTATATATGTGGTGGAACATAATTGCATTTCAGACCCACGATTTTTTTAGTGAAAATATTATAACAAAACAAAAATCATTAACCAATAAAAAGACACTATTTTGCCATGTAGGATAGATGAAATTTGAAAATTGGGTTTTTTTGGCAATTAATATAATATTGTGCACAAAATTTAATTAACTCAAATTAAGTGGAATGTACATTTATATATTTACATTTTTAATATTAAGTAATTGATTGAAAAAAGGAAACTCAATAACCAATAAAAAGACACCATTTTGACATGTAGGAGAGATAAAATTTAAAAATAATAATGTGAAATTAATTCATTAATAATATGGGTGACTATGGTAAGTTGGGTTGTTTTGAAATTAATAATAATATGTGATATATGTGGTGGAACATAATTGCATTTCAGTCCCACAATTTTTTAATGAAAATATTATAATAAAAAAAACTCATTAACCAATAAGAAGACACTATTTTGCCATGTAGGATAGATGAAATTTGAAAATTGGGTTTTTTTGGCAATTAATATAATATTATGCATAAAATTTAATTAACCCAAATTAAGTAGAATGTACATTTATATATTTACATTTTTAATATGAAGCAATTGATTGAAAAAGGAAACTCCATAACCAATAAAAAGACACCATTTTGACATGTAGGAGAGATAAAATTTAAAAACCAATAATGTAAAATTAATTCATTAATAATATGGGTGAATATGGTAAGTGGAGTTAATTTGAAATTTATTAAATAATGTGGACTCAATCTCCTCAAGTGGATAACTTTTATTGTGTATCTTAGTTTTATATATAATATAGATTGTAAATTTGAAAATATAAAACCGCTAATGTTGAGGGGCTAATTGTTACAAATGATATTTTAAGGGGGTAAGTGTTACATAGGTTATACTAAAAAAATAAGTAAATCACAAAACTAAAAATATCCGTTCAAAAATGCAATATTTTAAAATTTAAAAATATTATCTTGCGTTAGGTACATATTTAATAAATAACATCTAATTGTCGTTGGACCAATTAATCGAATATATTCATATCGGTAAATTTTAAGAAATTAGTACATAACTAATAATAATCTTAAGTATTCAAATTTATTTAGTTCATTAATTTCTTAAAATATATTTTCATTCATTACTATACAATATATATTACTTTCTAATATATTTTCTAATAATTTAATTTTAGTTACATTCATTTTTATATGATCCAATAAATATGAGAATGTTATGTTTATTATGTTTTAAATTTTAAAATATAGAATAATTGATGTTGAGGGGGTAAGTGCATGTTACAAATGATACTTTAAAGGGTTAAGTGTTACATAGGCTATACTTCAGGGGTGCAAAGTGTATTTAACCATTTTTTATAAAACATCTTATAAGCTCTCTAACAACTTATTTTTGGAAAAAAATAAGATAGTTTGTAATTATTTTACCAAACACTATTTATCATCTTATAAGTGTTTAAACATCTTATAAGATGTTTTTAGAAGCTTTGGCAAAAACGCTCTTAATCCAACTTCCATTAAAATCTTCAAAAAAAAAAAAAAAAAGTTGGGGTTTTTCTGCATAAGTCCCTAATCATCCAATTTTATTATTCTAGGTTTATGGACTATATCTCTTTCGCCAATAAGCTCATTCCTTAATATTTATTATAAATAAAGGAAAAACTCATGTATATGACAAAATTACCCCCAACCATTTACACCCAATTCGTAATTGTAACCCCAATTTAATCAATTTTGACCACAAATATCCAATTTTGACCTTTTTTTTTCAAATTTTTTTTTTGCCACCGGTCTTTGGCGTTGACTTTTTGATTTTTTTTTTGTTTTCCGCCACTGGTCTTCGGCATTAACTTTTTTTTACACCCAATGCTAAACGTTGATCGTAATTGTGCTGTCATTAACAGTAATTATTCTGTCACTAACAGTAAATTAACATAATTATACTATCAGTGACAGTACATTAACGTAATTGTACTACCGTTGACAATACATTTATGTAATTGTACTGCCGTTGACATTACAATTAGAGTCAATGATAATATTATTGTTATTATTTTTTTTTGTTTTTTTTTTTTAATTTTCTTTGATTTGTTCAGAAGTCAACGTAATTATATTACTGTCGTTGAGAGTAAAAGAACTGTAAACACAATAATATTACGGTCAACCACATCAGTATTATTATTTTTTCGGTTTTTTTGTTTGTTTGAGTTATTCACGAAGTAACGTAATAATATTACTGTCTATTTTGTAATATTATTGTGCTTGACAGTAATATTATTGTTGTTATAGTCACTCACAGTAATATTAATTCTTTTGGCTTTTGATTATGTTTACCTTTGTTGAACGGTCAACATATTAATATTACTTTATTACACAAAATAATGAGTTTCGTTGTGTTAATATCACTGTGCTAGAGATTAATATAGCAATATTACTGTGTTAAAATGTAGTATAGTTAATTTTACTGTGTTTAACAATAATATAATTAATATTACTATCAATCATAGCAATATTGTTATTTAAACGGGGGCAAAACAATGCTAAAGAAAAAAAAAATCGAAAAACATCAACGCCAGAGACTGGTGTTGACCGCCGATCAACGCTAGAAACTGGTGGCGGAAAAATCAGGAAGAAAAAAAAAAAAAAAAAAAGTCAACGGCAGTGACGGACGAAATTGGCCATAAAAAAATTTTTTGGGTCAAAATTGAATAATTTGTAAAATTTAGGGTCAAATTGAGGTTAGATTAAATTAAAAGATGAAATTGGACCATATTGAAATATGAAGAACTATTTTAGTCTTTTACAAACTTCTGAACCATGTGTAGATTTTTTTGTAAAACAGTTTATTGTCTGAACTTCTTTATGAATAATTACCTATTGGTGGGCTTATTTGTAAAGTGCCCAAAACAATAAATTAATTAATTAACGAAGAAGAAGATTCATTTTGCTTCGATCCTGTAAGGTTAGTTCCAGATTTCTCAAACGGATAATTAAATGGACGAAAAATTTCGTGGGTGGGTGCATAATTAGGGACTAACCTTAATAGACTATGTTACCAAACGAACTTAAACATTCATC